TCTCCTCTAGGTTTCCTCAGGCTTGATGTGAGACAGCCTGGTTGCGTTTCAAATCTTCGTGCATGTGAAGATCACAAAACAGTAACTTAAGTACCCAATACCTACTTTGTCATTTTTTTAGCAGATGTCCTCATTGCTTTCCCTTCTTCAATTCCACTTTCCCAGTTGGGGCAACTAGAAAGAGGCCTAGAATCTCCTGGTGTTATAGAGCTGGAAAATAAGAAACCTGTATGAGTTTTTGTTTCTCACAACATAAACTTAAGCAGAGGACAAACATAGTTTCCAGCACAAGTGTAATGCCCTGAGTGTACTTCTACCTCATTTCAGTTCAAATTCAAACAAACCATTTTAGCTTAAATCACCTTCTGCAGTGACAATTCACTTTGTGGGATAAGGAAACAGTCACAAGGAGAACTTCGCATCAGAACACAGACCTGACAATCTCTTACATATACCAGCTTAGCCACTGCAAATGCTTCCTTGTACTGTAACTCCATCACAGATGGCAACAAATGGAACTACTTGATTTAAACAAACTCCCATGTTTTCCTTACCTCTCCAGCCAGCGGTCTAAATGGCCATATTGATATTTGTCAAATGCCAAAGAACCTGAATCGTTCCAGTTTCTACATTTCTGTTCTTGATGCCAACATTGCGGATGCTGCACAGAACTGGAAAATAAGTGTTTTCATCAAGAATTAAGTCATAAGGAGTCATTCAGCGCTTTGAAAACCAAATCTAAGTATCATCATGTACAGTTACAGAATGCTGATTATTTTGGCATAGAGATATGTGACTTTGTGCCAAGCTACTCATTTGGGTAACAGGAACTTAGAAAGCATGTTAGACAATGCAGTTACTGCAGAAGTGTCTTTCACTGCTGCAGTTAAAACAACCAAATTCTAAAATAAACTTCTGGAAAAGCAACGTTTGCAGTGAAAAAAGGGACAGCAATATTTATGGAACTGCTGACATGCCAATATTCATACCCCTGTATTATCTGCATTTACTCACTACTACATACATCACTAAACTCTTGGAAGAGGCAACATATAGAACTGTCAGTTTTAACATGGGAAATGGCATGATTAAGAAGAAGCAGGTCAAACATTTACAGAAAAACACTTTGATATTGAAAATTCTTCATCAGCCACTACACGGAGCCCTCACAAGTAAGCACTAGAGCTAGTATAAGGTGTTTGAAATACACTGAAAGGAAGCCAAGAATTGCTTAAGGATTAAGTCTGCTGAGTTCTCCTTGCCTTCCTACTCAGTTCTGACAGCTCTGTTGTCTTAAAAAGATCACTGACTACATACAGAAGCTCTGCAGCACCTACTGACACCAGACCTGGCTCACAGGGCAAAAACTGCAATGGTGAGTGAGCCTGAGAGGGCAGCCTGTGCTGTCAGTTCAGGAGGAGGTTGGGTTGGATATCAGGGGACGTGGAAACAGGGATGTGAAACCGGCACAGCCCCAAGCTGACAAGAGATCAAGGAGCTTTTGGACACTGCTCTCAAGACAGAGGGTTGGATTTTGGTATGGTGAAGTGGAGCCAGGACTCGATGGCTCTTATAGGTTCCTTCCAAACCAGAAAACGCAGCCATTTCCACGCTGCCCTGCGCACGCCGTGCCCTGCCGGGTCTCTGCGCTTCCTGGAGCCGACAAGCGAGAGGAGGAAAGGATTTCGTTACTTTAATCCCGGATCAGCGCTCTGGGTTTGTTCTCTCTCCTGGCTCACTCCGCCAGCTTGCTGCTCCGCCCGTACACCACGCAATTTACTCCTAATCCAGGCAAAAGGACGCCTTCCGACACGCTCGCATTTTGTGCAGGCGATTAAAGGACAAAACCCTTCCCCGCTCACCCGCGTTTCACCACCCGATCTCCCAGCCGCGCCGCTCCCCTCAGCCCACGCGCCCTTTTTCCCCGCATTCCCCACACAGCCCCGGTCCGGAGCGGGCGAAGCCCTACGATCCCGACGCAGGACCCACGCACACCTTGAGGGAGCGCAGCCCCCACCTCAGCACACCCGGCCCTCCGCGGCAGCGCTCACCTGCGCAGCCCTCCCGGCTCCCCGCCGGCGGCACGGCCCTGTCGCGCGCCGAACATGGCTGAGCCGAGCGCCGCTACGGCCGCCGCGGAACATGGCTGCGGGAGCGGCGCGCTGCGCAAACGCGGCTCTACCCTCTGAGGCAACGCGCATGCGCGCAGCGCGCTACAGGGGGCGTTTCTCCTCAGACTTGGGAAGGGCGCGTTGGTGCCTGTGGGGGCACGGGGTTGTTGTTACTAAGCAGGGGGGTGAGGTTGAAACGCTGATTGCTAACCCATTTCTGTTACAAAACGCTGTCTTTCAGCACAGTCACCACCGTCAGCTATGCGTTTCCGTTAGCGATGAGCAGCTCCGTTCCACACCTTTGCTTCAAAAGCTGTTTTCTTAGAGTGCCCCTGTGCTGCCGTCTGTCACACAGCAGTGCGGCGTAACGCAGTATTGGAAAGGTTCAGCCTCTCCCGCCATACCACCAACATCTGTCTCTGGGGATGCGGGCCAACATCGTAAAACAGGAGGCATTACTTTCAGAGCAGCCATCATGGTTTTGTGCATTTCATAGAATGGCTCGGGTTGGAAGGGACCCCAAGGATATCAAGTTCCAACTCCCTGCCTCTGGCAGGGCCACCAACCTCCAGATGTGGCAGCAGACCTGGCTGCCCATCCAACCTGGCCTTGAAGCCTCCAGGGACGGAGCGGCCACAGCCTGTGCCAGCACCTCACCTCTGTCCTGATCACAAGGGGGGAATATACCAGTAATAATCACTTACATTTCATAATCCAAGAACGCTGAAGCTGGATTTACAGAGGATGTGCCTTATACCTACATTAATACACTTTTTCTCAGAATTTAATTTTGCATTTAGTGGCTGCTTTTTTGTGTGTGAAAAGAAGTTAAATGTTTGATGATAAAATCTAAAACAAAATACAAGAATAAAACTATGCATACTTCAAAATCATAGAATTAGTTTATATTTAATAAAATTAATAAAATTAGGAATAGTATGTATTTCACAACTAGAAATAATCGTAAAATATTCTCATATAAGCCAGGCTTTATAGCTTCAGAAGGGGTAGTAAATATAAAATTGATAAAAAATGACAGATCAATAGGCCTTCTGAATGCAGACTGGTAGAGTACCATCTACTAATAACCAATGAAATGTGGGTGTGTAGTATGGGATTTTTTTTGTGTAATTTTGGGAAGGGTAAAAACAACCCACATCCTCCGCAGTGTCCGCAATCAATACTTAAAAATAGGGTGTTAACAGCTGTAGTATAGGAAGTATGAAACTACATGAAATGCCTTTTTTTGCTCATTACGTTGTTATAATACAGGAAGAGTAAAAGTAGTTCAGAAATCTCTGAAACATATCTTCAGAACTAAGAATTGCAACTGCTTCCATCGAACCAGATATAGATGTGTTACTTACACAAAAGCAAGGTCAAATGTTCCACTAGTTCTGTGTTTTTGTTACCCTTTTAAAATTATGTTTTAATAAAAAATGTATAAAAATAAAAACTCTTGTCATTTCTATTCATTGACTATATATTTTATATATAACACAAGACAATTTCTGTTCACTCAATGTGGCCTGAGCAAGCCAAAAGGATGGAAACCCATGTGCTAGAGAAACATCCCCAAACTCATACCATTAATTGAACACATTGTTCTTTTATTGCCTTTCTGAAAATCTCCCCCTCTGATATTGTGAAATCCTGTGCTATTCCCTTTTCTTCTGTTTTCCCCTGAGACAAATAAATTAATTTTTTTCCATGCCTTCTTTTATATAGCCCTCTACATTCAGGTTATAGTAGGAAAACTTATAGAAGGAATAAATTTCACGTTCGGTGAATTATAAGATAACAGATGATCTGTGCTCAGAAATGTGTCATGGTTTTGCCTTCTACTGTCCCTACCAAGAGGGACATCGTGGAGATTTTTAACAAGTTCATTCTGTTATTTTTTATTCTGATATTGCCTTTTAAAAGCTTAAAAACTTCAGAGGCATGTCAGAGTACTATGAGAATTTAAACTTAGAAAAAATGCTTATTTTAAGGAACATAAGCCAGGCACTATTATTAACATAATTCATCATTTTATTTTGGTAATTATTACTAAAGTTGAGGCACTTCAGCAGAAAGAGCACAACCATCAAAAGATTCAAGAGTACTATACATTTATGACTATTACGTTGTTTTACTGTCATGTTGTAAAAGAAATAAGATGGGTAAAAGCAAAGTTCCACTGAAATTGAAACTTCAATTCAAAGATGATAGATTTCTCTAAAGAAAAACTGTACTGCACAAGCAATTAGGAATCTAAAGCTTTTACTCCATGCAATATTATGGGAAATTGACTTTTTTTTTTTTAATAAGAATATTTGCAATTACATGTGCTATAATCCAAAAGTCTCA